TTAGAAATCAGCAATCATTCACACACCCCCACTTCTCAAGTAACAACCTAATTTACATATGAATTGATGCTAAAAGACTAGCCAATTTAGCTTCCAGTTGGCTGACTTGGGGTTAGAAAAGCCTGGGACTTGGCTGCAGTTCTTTCATGGCCAACCTAGCATTATCATCGGGGGGATATACACTGCAGTGAGTATGATAGAAGTGAGTTCTCTGGGGAGATAATAAGGTCTGCATTTGACCATTAAAAACTCCGCATTAGGTGAGCAGTGACTTTCAGTAGTAGTGGAGTTCATGCAACAAGCATTGTTAATATAAATGCACAAACCTCCACCTCTGGTTTTGCCAGAGTTGTCTGCTAGCCTGTCGGATTGGGGTGTGGGGCGTCCTGCTAACTCAATAGCATTGTCCGGGCAGCTGTTGTTCAACCATGTTTCAGTGAAAAATATGACATTTGAGTCCATAATCCGTCTGTTGTTGGTGATGGAGAAATAGCAGATTCTGAAGAGACACTGAGCCTCACGTTGTTCACGTGCCGCCATCTTGGTCTTGTGAAAGTAACATATTTATTATTATTTATATATTTATTATTTCTCCATTAGGTCCAAGACTGCATATCTTCTGTTTTACAGGAAAAAGAAAGGTAAGAGCAGATATTGTTGTGGTGTTTTTTTCAGCTGTTTGGTGCCTGAACAATTTTGTTTCTAAATTGTGCTTCATGCTGCAGATACTGATACTCAAGACAAAGACTTGTCCATGAGTGGACCACCCACCATCAGTAATGAATATGAACAGAGCCAAAATGGGAAAAAAAAGAGACAGAGAGATGACGGGGAGGAGAAAAACATAGAGGATAATCCTGCTCACCGAATAAAAGTAGAGGGATCGCGGGACACCCCGTGTAACGCAGCTCCTCTGGACAACGAACCAAATGAGGACAATGCAACCACTGGAAGTGATGACCAGGATCAAAATCATACAGTAGTGGATGAAGTTAAAAAGAACAGACTAGATAATAATGCTGATTTTAAATTTGATGTCGCTAGCTGTTCACAATATTTTATATTACATATAAGCATATATATATTTAAATATATATATATATATATATATCAACATCGTCACAGCCGTTGAAGACACTCTAGTAGCAGCAGAAATGTCATGTGGTCATGCCATCACTGTGTCTAGTTGTTGGTGCTACAGTCTGCTGGATCAAGTTTCTTTCTTTCTTCATTTGTTCCCTTTTCTCTTTCTTTTAAAATGTGGACAATACTTAAATTTCTAGCATTACATTACAGAGCACGATACTAAGGTGCTTATATATACCATAGCTCACTTAAAAAAAAGTCCTCATCTGGCTTGATGGGACTTTGTAAGATGAAGCTCTTTGTTTCCAGGCCCGGTACTTGTATTGTTTTGGTTAATTTTCACTACCCTCATATTTTTCACAGGAGTTTGCTCTCTAAAATACACACACTCATACAAAACAAAGAAAAGTTTTTCACTGTAATGTCTACATCAGTAAGGGCCAGGGCTGGACTGGGACAAAAAATCGGCCCGGGCATTTTGACTAGAGGCTGGCCCACCAAATATTATAGGAAAAGCCATAAGGCCTTTGAAGGAAAACAAACGCTGTTGTGACAGTGATGTACAGTCTTGTTGGTATATGTATGATTTCTATACATTTTACGTCAGATAAAAACTTTGGTTGTAAGATTCAGATAATTATTTAATAAAAGCTAGACATTTTAAATAACAATAAGAAAATTAAGTATTTCTTTGTGCCCCCCTCTCCCTGTTAACGCCCTACCTGGCCCCCTGGCAAAACTTTGCTAGACCCGCCCCTGCACAGTTACCAGCTGTCAGCTACTTAGAAAAGGATCCTGGTGTTATTTGTCTCTCAGAAACAGTTCATAACTTCCCTTCAACTCATTCATGTCACCTAAAAGGTAAACCTGTTTCTCCATCACCTGTTCAGCTCTGATGATCCAGTAAGGGCATCTCCTGGTTTCATCTTCTTGTTTCCCTCTCACCAGATAACCAAACCGATATCATGACCAGCAGCTTTTACAGCTGTGGCTCCAGCAAACATC